GCAAATACGTTCCTTATTCAGGAAATCCATTCTAGTTCTGGCTCTCACGCAACGATACTTAGCCCGTATGGGAAAGGCTGATAAAGGGAGCGGTAGACACATCGAAGCCAAAAATTTTTTTCGCCTCTTCGAAGACGAGAAATAGTGGTTACGGCTGATAAAAGGCCTATAAGCTTCTTTACAAGCAGTTTAAATGAAGACAGAGAATAAGGCGATTTACAAGGGAAATATCAAAAAGCTTGTACTGAAGCAGGAGAAGCAAGGGAAATATCAGAAAGCTAGTACTAAAGCAGTGCAGGAACTGATGCAGCTGCGTCAGAAGACGCTAGTGGCAGTTATAAACAAAGGAAACCGCAAAGCAATAAATCGAATGTGTATGGAAGATCTGCAAGAATTTCTAAAAACTCAAGAAGAGAACAAGTGGGCTTCAGAAAGCACATATCTATTACCGACCACATTTTCATAGCAACACAGTTAGTGAACTGGTACAAAGAATACAGAATTCCTTAATGCTTTCGCCGATTTTGAGAAGGCTTTCGATTCAGTGGAACAGAAAACTGGGAACTACACGTCCTTTCAGTTCAAAAAATCGATCAGTGTACATCCCACGTTCAAAGACTCTTTAATACGTCCGAAGAGAAGAGCAACTTCTCTGTGCTGGGTCATACACAGAAATCGCCCTTATCGACAAAAACAACTGAAATAGAAATTGCCAGTGGCAAGTAGTAGGACGAAATTTGTCCCAGTTTGTTTCTCATGCGCTCCAAATCGTTTTGTGAAAAATTCAAAGGAGTGATTTTGTGTCGACTGTGAAATAATCAAATAACTATTTTTGCAGACAGCATATTCATGCAAGAAACTCAAGACATTACAAACTAGTGTAAAGAGAAAGAAAAACCAAATGGATGAAGAACGTGCAGTACCACCAGTTCCAGCTGAAGTCTGAGAATCAGCTCACTGAACTTGTCGTAGTTATGCCTAGCTAGGACAAATACTATAAATGAACAATAAATTAGATTTAAACTTCAGCAGAGAAGAGTACTGTAGATAACTCCATCAAGTTATGAGATGTCTCTCCCAAAACTAAATAAAAAGCAACAGACATGAAAACAACACTTTTAAATCCCACTGTATTACTACAAGTTCTGTTGTATG